GAGCGGGGAGCTGACCGTGGCCCCACCGCCAGGCCTCCCGCACCCCGAGCTCCTGTGGGTTCGGGTTCGGGGTTCCTGTGACGTGAACCCGAGCGTTTTCACTTATAAGAAGTCTGCGCTTCTCCCTGATCACTCAGACGCCGAGTTGTTTTCATGCTGAAATCTCAGGAGCCGTCAACACTGACTGAGCCCCCAAGAGGATGCAGAGAGGAAGGGGGCTCCCCCCTGCACTGGAGGGTCTCTTCTCCTCCTCCCTCCTGTCCCCTCCATCCCCTCTTCTTTCCCTCTCCCGCTCCCCCTCCACACCCTTTCCTTCCCCGCCCCTCCTCCCCTCTCTCCTCCTCCCTCCTGTCCCGTCCAGCCCCCTCCATCCCCTCCTCTCCTCCCTCCATCCCCTTTTCTTACCCTCTCCCCCTCCCCCTTCACACCCCTGCCTTCCCCTCCCCTCCTCCCCTCTCTTCTCCTCCTCCCTCCTGTCCCGTCCATCCCCCTCCATCCCCTCCTCTCCTCCCTCCATCCCCTCTTCTTCCCCTCTCCCCCTACCCCTCCACACCCTTTCCTTCCCCTCCCCTCCTCTCTCTTCTCCTCCCTCCTGTCCCGTCCATCCCCCTCCATCCCCTCTTCTTACCCTCTCCCCCTCCATACCCCTTCCTTTCCCTCCCCTCCTCCCCTCTCTTCTCCTCCTCCCTCCTCCCTCCTGTCCCCTCCATCACCTCCATCCCCTCTTCTTCCCCTCTCCCCCTCCCCCTCCACACGCTTTCCTTCCCCTCCCCTCCTCCCCTCTCTTCTCCTCCCTCCTGTCCCCTCCATCCCCCCTTTACCTCCCATCTCCCTCCTCCCTCCTGTCCCCCTCTTCCCATCTCCCTCCTCCCTCCTGTCCCCCTCTGTTCCCCTCTTCTCCCCCTCTCCCTCTCCTCCCCTCCCTTCTCTCCCCGTCCTCACCGCCCCTCTCCCCTCTCTCCCTTTTCCTTCACAAACAGCTCTGGATAAGGACTGACCAGAGCCAGGGCCTCGCAGACGCATCAGCCCCGGAGGCGCAGACTCAGAGTCAGGTGTGCAGGGTCCTATGTGCCCTTCCTCCGTGGGCACAGCTGGGCCTCACCTTCCATCCCGTCCACCGGAGCCAACACCACCCCCGCCAGGGAGCCTGGGGCAGAGGTCAGAGCCCACCGCAGCGGTGAGCGTGAGGTAATTCCGGTTCCTGCGAAGTCTGTCCGGTCCCCCAGCCCAGAGGCTCCCGTCTGTCCGGACCCCCAGGCCAGAGGCCCCCGTCTGTCCGGATCCCCAGCCCAGAGCCCCCCCGTCTGTCCAGACTCCCAGGCCAGTGGCCCTGTTTCAATCCTCTTATCACAGAGCAGGTATTTGAAGCTGACCCGGTGCTGCTGCTAATGCGATTGTTTTGGTCTCTGATTAAAGCCGATTTGGCACACAGCTGGGGTCCCGGTCCCGGTAGTGTTATCCTCTGTCCACATCCCACCCCACTGCCCCCCACTGCCCCTCACCTCCCCCCACTGCTCCTCACTGCTCCTCACTACCCTCACCTCCCCCCACTGCCCCTCACCTCCCCCCACTGCCCCTCACTGCCCCCTCACCTCCCCCCACTGCCCCTCACTGCCCCTCACCCCCCCACTGCCCCTCACTGCTCCTCACTACCCTCACCTCTCCCCACTGCCCCCCACTGCCCCTCACCTCCCCCCACTACCCCCCACCACCCCTCACCCCCACACTGCCCCTCACTGCTCCCCACTACCCTCACCTCCCCCCACTGCCCATATAGGGGTGCTGGGCAGTTGCACTGAACCTCACCCCAATCATTCAACAGTTGGATTTCAGTAAGTTTGTGTAACCGTAACCAACGGTGCTAGGTTATTTTTACAAAATATATTTTTATTGATTTTTAGAGGGAGAGAGAGAAACACCGATGAGAGAGGGACGTGGATTGATTGGCTGCCTGCTGCATGCCCCAACTGGGGATCGAGCCCCAAACCCAGGCCTGTGCCCTGACCCGGCACTGAACCTTCTATCCTTCATTCGTGGGTGGACGCCCAGCCACTGAGCCACAGGCCGCTGGGCGACCTGCTGGGTTCCGGAGACAAAGCCAGGCCCCCCGAGGCTGCTGTGATTCGCCCGCCCTCCGGCCATTGTCTGCCGCAGGGCCCAGGTGCCACGTGTTAACACTGCCCGCGCCCTCCATTTCTGGCATTTTCTCCCTCTTCTCGGTGGGAGCGGAGAGAACGGCCGGCCGGCTGCCTCCTCAGGCCGGGGAGTCCGGGCCGTCCGCTCAGGCTGGTGCTGCTCTCGGCTCCCTCCCTCGCTGACCAGATTGTGTCAGGATTAGGGGGTGGATGGCTCCACAGATCCAAAGTTCAGGCAGCTTGTGAGCGTCGGGCACGGCCAACTCCGTGACCAACGGCAGAGTGGCACGGCTGCCGGCTGGCGAGAGCCCCCGTGAGCCGCGAGCTGGGCAGAGCCTCATCAGCGGGCGAGAAGACACGCACAGACACACACGTGTTACAGAACACCCGGCCTCTCTGCCACGCGGGTCTGGCTCTCCGTGCTGCTCGGGCACCTCACTCACCCAGCACCCATCGGCATGGTGACTGCGGCTCCCTGCCCGGACTGCTTCTCCCCTCACGCTCAGCGCCCTAAACCCCGCCACAGCCTCCGCTGCCATGAAGGTCTGTGGCCGAGAGGACACTGGAAACAATGCTATTTAAACCCAAGAGGTGAGGGAGGGAGGGGGGCAAAAAAAAAAATCAAAAAATATATATATTTTTAAAAAAAAAAGATTGAAGAAAGGACCTCTTTTCCACTATTTCGAATACTTAATAGCTAATTTCATAACATCACATGTACCATTTTAAGAAAGTGATGATTTAGTGGGAAATTAATGCTTTGCATTTGTATACTGTAAATATAAATGATGATTTGTTTGAAATGTGTAACTTTGATATGCAAAAGATAACTCACAATGTTAATATTAAATATTCCTTCAAAATAAAAAATAAAAATAAAGATTCCCCACTGAAAAAATAAAAATAAAAAAAATAAACCCAAGAGGGAGCAGAAACCGGTTTGGCTCAGTGGGTTTAGCGTCCGCCTGCGAACTGAACGTCCCAGGTTCGATTCCAGTCAAGGACACATACCTTGGTTGCAGGCACATCCTCGGTAGGGGGCATGCAGGAGGCAGCTGATGGATGTTTCTAATTCTCTATCTCTTTCCCTTTCTCTCTGTAAAAAAATCAGTAGCCCAGTTGCCTTTTGCCTCTAAGATAACAGCTGTGAGATGTCTGGGTAACTTGTAACTTCCTTTTTACCCCGACCCCTCAGGGCACAACCAATGGCACCTGGAGGTTCCCTCATTGTTATTGTTATCAAGTTAATTGTCAGCTGTTAATTACATTAGAGTATCCGGTATCCATCTCTGTAAAAGAAGCACTTGTCCATCATTTCACCTTTCACCCTATCCCAGAGGTTTCCCGCTTCGCCTGTCCCACCTCCCTAATCCATCACTAATGAATTTCATGTAACCACCTACGTCCTTTCCTTTGATGGCAATGTATAAATACAGAAGTAACCCTGTATTCTCCGGAGCATTATCTCATTTCACTGAGGTTCTGCTTCCCGGCATATGCCGACAGTTTGGCTCAGATAAACTCACAAAATTCTTTACAGGTTTCAGTGTTTTTTTTCGTTAGCAGGATGCACAGGAGCTGGCAGGGATCTGTAACAGCCACATGGATGGCTGAGAAGGGACTGCAATCCACGTGGCTTTCTTTCCACGTTGCGTCTGATGTTGGGACGCTGTGTGGTCTGTGTGAGAGGCACCATCACAAACGATAGCACGTACATGATATGACTGCGCTGTAACCTCTCCCGGGCATTTATCCTATCGATTCCTTTGTCCCGGAGGACGGATTTGAAAGTCATGGCTTATGGCCTGAATACGGCTTTACGTTTTAAACCATTTCAGAGGCAGATTTCCTTCAAATCGAAACGGGTCAAGTCCGCCCCGAGAACCACCGTGTGTGCACAGGGGGTGAGGTTAACGTCAGGCGCGTCCTGGTGGTGATACCATGTTAGCGCGATTGCTAAACAAAGGCAACAAACAGCCTCGGAGAAACCAAATAATTTGTCTCCATAGCGTTCCCGCCCAGAAATCCCAGCAAGCAAGCCCCGAGGCCTGCGTCCGCCCACCTCCGATCGGGGTCCCCGCTCCCGTTTCTCTCCTCAGGCAGCACAGCTGTCCGGGTGCAAGGAGGCGCCGGGGCAGCTTATTTCACGTTTACGCCCTCGGTCCATGCACACGGGCCTCCCCCCTCCCGTCCCCGCACCGAGCAGAGAGGGGGTGCAGGGCACACAGAGGGGGTGCAGGACACAGAGAGGGGGAGGGGTGCAGGGCACAGAGAGGGGGGTGCAGGGCACAGAGAGGGGGAGGGGTGCAGGGCACACAGAAGGGGAGGGGTGCAGGGCACAGAGAGGAGGGTGCAGGGCACACAGAGGGGGGTGCAGGGCACACAGAGGGGAAGGGGTGCAGGGCACAGAGAGGGGGTGCAGGGCACAGAGAGGGGGAGGGGTGCAGGGCACAGAGAGGGGGTGCAGAGCACACAGAGGGGGGTGCAGAGCACAGAAGAGATGCAGGGCACAGAGGGGTGCAGGGCCCAGGAGCACCCTGGGCAGCGATGGGCGGGGCGGGGGAGAGGTGGTGGGGACCCCGCCCCCCTCCTGCGCGGGGATTGGCTGCCGGCGGGGCGGCGGGCACAGGCCGGGGTCGGGGTCGGGGGCGGGCGCTGCGGCGAGTCCCGCCTCCTGCAGCCGCGGTGCTCCGCTCGGCCGGTCCGGCCCCGGGGAGCGGGGTCACGGGGCGCAGGAAGCGGCGGCGCGGGGAGCGGGCTCCGGGCCCCGACACCGGAAGCGGATCCGCTGCTGAGTAATCGGCGGGAGGCCCGCTGCCCGCGCCGCAGGCGGAGCCGGACCGGACCGGGCCGGACCGCAGCCCCATGGCCGGCGCCGGGCCCCCGCGGCGGGAGGACGCGGAGCCGGCGGCCGGGCCCCCGCAGGACGCGGAGCTGGCGCTGGCCGGCATCAACCTGCTGCTCAACAACGGCTTCCGGGAGTCCGACCAGCTCTTCCGCCGGCACAGGTGCCCGTCCGGCCCGCGCCGCTCCCCGGGCCCCGGCCCGCCCCCTCCTCCCCGCGCCCCGCGCCCCCTCCTCCCCGGGCCCCGGTCCCTCCGCCCCCTCCTCCCCGGTTCCCGCTCCCCCGCACCCCTTCCAGCCCCGGTCTCCCCCGCGCCCCGCGCCCCGGTCCGCCCCGCGGGCTCCGGCCGCCCCCGCCGCCCCCGAGGCCCCATCCCGGCCCGGGCCCGCCTCCCCCTCGGCCCGGGCTGCAGCGGCTCCGCGCCCCGCCCCCGGCGGCCTCTCCCGGACCGCGGCCTCCCCGCCTCGCCCTCCGAGGGGCGCCCTCCCGGTCCGGGCGGTGTGACCGCCCCGGGGCCCCCGCAGCCTGTGGGCCCGGAGCGCCGACCGCCGGGGCCTGTGCGCGGCGTCTGCGCCCCGAGCCCCGAGCCCCGGCAGCGGCGGCCCGACCCCCGCCGGCCCCGCACTGCCCCGGCCTCTCCTCCGGGGACGCGGCGGAGCCGAGCCCGCGAGGGGGTTGGGTGGAGGGAAGGGGGGAGGGAGGGACCGCACCGGCGGGCTGACCGTCCTCGCGGTCTAACGGGCCCCTTTAACGGGAGGGGGGAGGGGAGCGGGAGGGGAGCCTGGGGGGCGGGGGCGGGGGAGGCCGGGACGCGGCCGAGGCCGCTCCTTCCCGGTGCGGCCGGTCACGTGCCTCCGCTGGGGCGGGAAGGGGTGCGGGGAGGGAGGCGGGGAGGGAGGGGGGGAGGTGCGGGCAGGGCTGCAGGTTTCAGGCTCCTGGGGCACACTCTGCACAGCAGGGCCTCACCTACACTCCCCACCAAAGACGTTTCCTCCGCGCAAGTCTCTCACCCTGGAAACAGAACTTCTCAGCCTTTCACCTTTAAAGCGGACCGTCCCATCCAGGCGGCGTCCGTCCAGGCTGCGGGCCCAGCAGACGCCTCCCTCTCGCAGGATGTGGCCCCGAGAGCACTGTCATGAAAAGGGAGCGAAATCTGAGTGTCTGCACCTGCTGGACCTTCCTCCCTGCTCTCAGTCCTCCTCCCCCCCCTGCACCCCCTTGGAGTGGGAGGGAGCGGGAAGAGAGAAATTGAGGACCCAGGTGGTTGCCTCCTGCAGGAGACCAGGGCCCTGGCAGGGAGGAGCCTGCCACCCAAGCACGTGCCCTTGACGGGAATCGAACCCAGGACCGTTCAGCCCACAGGCGCACACTGTCCACGGAGCCACGCCAGCGGGGCCTGCACTTTTCTTCTTTGCGTGGCAGAGAGAGGGCCGGAGTGGATCCTCTGTGGCTGCTGACCGACACGTTTGTGTGTCTAGACACCACTTACTCTGAACTGTCCTCGGCTGCTTATTTTTAGCAAGAGGCCTGGTGCATGGATTCCTGCACCGGTGGGGTCCCTTGGCCTGGCCTGCACCCTCTCGTAATCCGGGACCCTCAGGGGGTGTTGGAGAGCCGGTTTCAGCCCCATCCCCCAGGCTCCATCCAGACAGGAGGGAGCCCAGTCCAGTGCATTAAGCATCCGTCCCTGGTGGTCAGTGCACATCATAGTGACCGGTCATTCGGTTGCTGAGGCTTTTATATAGAGAGATGCTCATCTTTTTCTAAACCGCCCTAGTACACTGCTTGTGTATGACCCTGGCTATTATCTCCTGAAGGCGCAGGATGCCTGTTTCTGTGTTACGTTTTGTCCAGAGGGTTGTGTGCACAGGTGATGAGGGCAGGTGGTGAGTTTCAGGAAGACTTCCACAGCTCCCACAGAGAGCACCTGGAGCGGTGTTTCTGGGGGGTGAGTCTGTGAGGGGGTGAGCCTGGGAGGGTCAGGTGGGGGGGTGTCCGGGAGGGTTTGCATTTTGTTTCTGGGTCACAGTTGACATGTGGTGTTTGGTGCACAGCGTAGCGGACACTTGCGTACGTTACGACGTGGCCCCCACAGGCCCCGCACCTCACTGACACCGGGCAATGGCAACCTGGCTGTCCTTGTCCGCTTGTGTTTGGAGGCGGGCCCGGAAGAGAAGGGAGGATCCAGGATCGGATCTGCTCTCTGCCACGTGGACCGTTTCCGTGTGTTCCCCGTGCTCCGGGCGCGGCTGTAGTGGGCGCGGCTCCAGGGGGCGCGTGTCCCAGGAGTCTCCCTCGGACTGTGTCCGTGCCCGGCCAGGCTCTTCCCGTCCTGCCGTTCTGTGTCGCCCACGTCGGTCCGGTTTGCACTTTGCCCTGCGACCTTGTTTTCCAGCGGCTGCGCCTCCTTCGGGGAGGACGGGAGCCAGGTGTCCTATCGGCATTCCCGCCTGGCTCAGCCCGTCTGCCGCTTCTGAGGGGGCTGCCTGGTGGTGGGACGGGCGGGTCCGAGGGGAAGGAGCAGCCTGGGAGCCGGTGCAGGGCAGAACCGGGCACACGCTGGCTCTGTCCCGCAGCCTGCCCGCCCCTCGTGCTCTCTGCGGTGATGCAGTCTGCGTGGGAGATGGAGGCCGTGGAGGTTGCTTTGGCGGTTAGAGTTAGCCCGCCGGCGTGGCCCAGTGGGCGGAGCCTCCGCCTGTGCACCCCGAGATCGCTGGTTCAGTTCCCAGTCAGGGTGCATGGGGGTTTCCGGGCCTGATCCCCAGGAGGGAGCGTGCAGGAGGCAGCTGATCTAGGATCCCCCCCCCCTCTCTGTCTCTTTCTCTCTGTCTCTCTCTCTCTCTCTCTCTCATTTCTGCCTCTCCCTCTCCCTCCCTCTCTCTAAAATCAATATTAAAACACTAAAAAGTAACGTTAGCCTCCCTGTTGCATTAGGAACCTGTTGTTTCCTCGGTACTGGCTGTGCAGGACTCCGCGGGGACTTGGGGGGATGGGGGGGGGTCAGGAGCCGGGAGAGAGCAGGGTCCCCCTTTCTCTGGCCGTGGTGTGAGTCCCCCCCTTCCAGGATCCTCGTAAGCCTCCGGGATCTCACTGCCCCGCTGTGACAGGGGAACACTGTCAGAGGGACAGGACGTTTTATTGGAGGAGGCTCCTCTCCGCCGTGGTGAGGAGGATGGGGTCCAGCTGCCCGTGAGGAGCGGCCCCTGCTAAGGGGCCAGCTCCCGACGGCCATTCTGAGTCCCTGGGGAGTGAACACGGTGCACAGCGGAGGCTCTGCCCTCGGGGGATCACACGCAGCCGCCATCCCTGGCCGCGGCTGCGGGCTGAGGCTGAGGCTGAGCCCACAGCACCGGGTCCGGAGGCGGGGCGGCCTGCCCAGGACCTGCCTGCCTGCCTCGGAGCTCAGCGCCCCGGCCACGCTCACTGACACACACGCTCACGCCTGCATGGCGGCCGTCTGTGCCACAGAAGGAGCGGGTGGGAGGCTGGAGATGGGTCCGGGGCCTGAGCCGTGGGGGCAGCCTGCAGCCCAGCGAGTGCCAGCGAGCACCAGCGAGCACGCCCGGGTGGGAGTGGGAGTGAGTTTCATGGGGAGGAGGGGGAGGGAGAAGGGGAGGAGAACAGGGAGTGGTGGGCAGGTTCTCGCCGATTCCTGCCGTGGATACTGATAACGCCGCGTCTTGTCCGTGTCAGCTGAGACAGGAAGCATGTCGTGGTTACAGTGAGTGTTCGCTGAGGAGAAATGGCATGAAAGGACAGAGTTAGTGCCTGGTCGGTGCTGTGAAATGCGGTATTTTTCTTTTTCACTGTACTTGACGAACTGGCAACAGTGTATTCGAAGCAAGAAAAATGGGTGCCCTGGCCGGTGTGGTTCAGTGGATAGAGCGCCGGCCTGCAGCTCAAGGGTCCCAGGTTTGATTCCAGTCAAGGGCATGTATCCTGGTTGCGGGCACATTCTCAATGGGGGGTGTGCAGGAGGCAGCTGATCGATGTCTTTCTCTCATCGATGTTCCTACCTCTCTATCCCTCTCCTTTCCTCTCTGTAAAAAATCAATAAAATATATATTTTAAAAAGAAAGAAAGAGGAATGGATGGTCAGCAACGTGTGAGTATTTAACATGAAGACCTGGGTCCTCAGTCGTCCGGCACTGTCTGTGGCACATGCCGCCAACGAGAGGACGGAGCAGCTTCCGGGGACGCAGCCTGGGGCCCCGGCCAGACCGCCTGCACCCCGCAGAGCCGGGCTGGGCTCAGCGCCCTCGGGCAGGGGCGGGGTGTTCAGTGGCTGCTGTGTGGCACCCCAGCCCTCGCCCCCGCCAGGCTGTCCCCATCCCTTCCTTGTTGCTCAAGAGTTTCAGAACCTCCAGGCGGGCGGGCGGGCTGGACACAGGTTCCTCGTCCAACAGGAAACGCCCGTTATTCAGGCGAGCCGGGAGCGTTGGGGGGAGTGCCGGCCACAGGCCGACTCTGCAAGGAGCAGGTCTGTCCTTCTCGGTGGGGTTCTTGCTCCACATTAACTATTCTTATTTAACACACGTCTTATTGCGGGTGGTATTGCAGATACGCTGCCCCCCCGCCCCCAGGTCTCCAGCTGCCTATTGCCCATGGCCGTGCCTGAAAGTCCCCCAACCCCACCCCGAGGCAGCCGGTCTGTCCCACACCTCCCTGCTTCCGGTCTTACTCATTGATTCATTTATTTATTGATATCTTCACCCGAAGATGTTTTCCATTGGTTTTTAAAGAGAGAGTGGAAGAGAAACATCGAGGTGAGAGAAACACATCGGTCAGCTGCCTCCTGCACGCCCCCTCCTGGGGATCGAGCCCAACGCCTGGGCAGGTGCCTGACTGCCAATGGAAGCTTGGCCTCCTGGCTGCTGGTCCATTCTCCACGCAGAGCCTCGCGGGCGGGCAGCTGGAGGTTGCCGGTAGCGTGTGTGGTTTGGACGACCTCTGAGTCGCTGGCCGTGCTGCTCCACCTGCTGTGGCGTTTGTGGAGACGATGGAGGCGTGACTTTAGAGAAGGAACAGATAGAAATCGAGCCCTCGCTGGTGTGGCTCAGTGGATAGAGCGTCGGCCTGCAGACTGAAGGGTCCTGGGTTCAATTCCAGTCAAGGGCACAGGCCTGGGTTGTGGGCTCGATACCCAGTGTGGGGCATGCAGGTCAGTGACTCTCTTCATTGATGTTTCACTCTCTCCCTCTCCCTTCCTCTCTGAAATCAGTGGGGGGGAAATTTTTTTTTTAATGTAAATCTTCTTCTGCCCACCCCTGATCATACCTCCTCCTCTGCTCATCCCTCTGGGATGTCCCGCCTTTTGGCCTCGGGAACAGGGTCTGTCCGTCCGGTGTCTGATGTTGTTTTCAGTTTCCACGGGAAGGTTAATACCTTTAGAAACAATCAATTGCTTCTTTGTATTCTGAGCAGCTTTTCTTCGGGGAAGTCGTTACACAGAGAGAGAAAAAAACAGCCATTTCTCCGAAGGAGAAATCAGAGGGCTCCAAAGACACACAGGGAGCTTTTTTATATGTTTGCTTGTGTCTTCACTGTTTATTTTGAAAAAGAGCCTACATCTTCCAAAGCACGTGACCTTGTCTGGTCGATCCCGTGTCCCGTGTTCCCACAGGACACGTGTTACCGTGTAACTCAGAGGTTGGCAAATCACTTCCTTCCCGAAGGCGGCTCTGGCTGCTGGCTCGTTCCGTTTAGGACGTGGTTGTGAGTGACGACAGAGCGGGCGGGCCCCTTACATTGGAGGGGGGTGGTGTGATTTGGTTTCCGATTTGGCTCTCACGGGGACGGGGAGTGGCCGGGCGCTAGGGGAGTGGGAGGGGGGCGGGGATGGCTGACTCTGAGAGTTGTTTGGGAGAGCGGTTTGCGGGTGAAACCCTGAGGATGGTCCTTGTTTCACATGTATAAAGTTTATTAATAGAACACATTTTGCCTCTTTTTTTTTTTTTTTACTTTAAAAAATATATGTTTTATTGACTTTGAGAGAGAGGGGAAAGGAGGAATAGAGAAAGAGAAACATCGATGAGACGAAGTCATCAATGGGCTTCCTTCTGCACGCCCCCTACTGGGGATCGAGCCCACAACCGGCCAGGTGCCCTGACCAGAAATTGAACTGTGACCTCCTGGTTCCTGGGTCAATGCTCAACCACTGAGCCACACTGGCTGGGCGTGTTTTCATTTTTAAGATGAATGTTAATCGCCTCGGTTGGGTGGATGGCAGGTTGGCTCACGAAGGCAGCCTCTCTTAGGATTCGACTTTCTTGTCCCCGTCATACCCCCCCGCCCCCCTCCCCCGGCTCCGACGGAGGGGGCGGACGGATGCGGCTCCACAGACCGACGGGGACCCCCCCCCGTGTCTCTGACTTCCCTCTCAGGGCAGCTCCACCTGCCGGAAGCCCTTCCCTTCTCCCCTTCATGGGCACCGGGTCACGACCCTCCGAGCGAGTGTTGTTAATTATTCCTGTTTTGTTTTCTTACAGAAATCACAGCCCCTTAATGAGCTTTGGAGCCAGCTTCGTCAGCTTTCTGGTACGTAGGTGTGGGGAGAGGGACTGCGTGAGCCGGTGAGCATGTAACGTGTGTTTCCGCGGCTCCTGCCTGTGTGGATTCAAGGCGGTGAAGGACCCTTTGGAGTTCTGCCCGAGTGTGTTTCTCGGCATCTCCGAGGGGCTCAGGAGTCTGGAGAAGGGGCTGCTGTAAATTATTAAAGAGTCCAGAGACAAAATGTACTTTGGGGGCAGGAGAAGACTTAGCTGAAGGAACCAAGGCCTCCTGTATCTCTGGACCCCTTGCTTTTTATTAGCACATGTTGTCCTAAAGCAAGGTGGATGTACAGATCAAAGGGAAAGGTTTGGTATACGGAATCATTGTCGGATTGGGGAAACCGCCTATGGCTATTCAGGTGTTTGGCCAGCAGGAGGCAATAGCATGCAGATTGGAATGCCCTCAGCTGCCTGGCAGCGAGCAATCATCCATGCAGATGTTTGGATGAGGGGAAATGCCCTCAGCCATTTCCAGCAGGCGGTCCTCAAGGTTCCATCAGCCTTTCGGTGAATTTATGACCTGCTGGGATCAGCCTCCGGCAGAGCTCAAAGCTGGAGCGAAGACTTTGTGGGAAATCCTCTCTCCCAGTTTTAAAAAGAAGATGCATATAGCTTATAGGGCATTCTCATTTTCCCAGCCTACATCCATTTTAAGTGAAAGTGCAGTTATGGAAATATCTTCCCAACATTTAAAACTGCATTTGAGTGAAAAAGAATCAGCTGTTGGCTAGGAAAGGTCTGCTCTCACATCACGGGGTGCACGTGGCTGGAAGGCAGGTGAGGCCGCAGGGCTGAGGTGGGCGGTGGAGGCGGGTGCGAATGTCACTTAACCCTCAGGCAGTTGGGGGCCGAGGTCAGTCATAATGAGGCAATCTAGGCAATCCGATGCTTTTATTTTTCAGAAACATCCCATAAGCTGCTTTCAGACTCAGTTTACTTAAAAGCCATTGTAGAATTGTAACAGAAAAGGACAAATAATCAAAACCCCAAGCAGAGACCAGGAGGAATGAGACAGAGGAAGCACTTAGATCCCAGGTTTAGGGAGACAGCAGCCTCGGGGTGCAGGGCCGGCCCGGCTCGGGGGCCTGGGGGGGGGTGTGAGCTTTGTTTTCTGGGATTTCCCGGGAACACAGAGTGCTCAAGGTCTCTGTTTGCGAGGAAACAGAGGTGCCTTCTCTCAAGAGCACGGTCCTGGGTGGGCTGGGCGTGGAGCCTGAGGGGACACCGGGAGCTCGGGGCGGGGGTGAGGGGTGAGGTGTGTGGAGGGTGCTGGGATGAGCAGAGGGTGGGGGATGGGAAGGAGGCAGTCTGGTCGGGCTGACTGGAAACGTCTTTGTCGGGGTGAGGAGAAGGATGCCGGGCGGCCGTGGGTGTGATGGGATGGAGAGCTTGCCGGGTTCACCTCTCAGATCCTTCCAGAACCCGGCGCCGGGCTCTGCCCGTGGCACTCACCCCGGAACCTCAGCCCTGCGGGGTGGAAAGAGCAGGGGTCCCCGGGGACAGGTTGCCCCTCCATCACACGGGGCCTGGAGCAGCCGCCAGCCCGAGGCCGAGAAACCCGTCCTGGGCGTGTCCGCTGAGGTCAGCCCGTTCCCCACGTGAGCCGGACCGACCACACGCAGCCGTCATTGCAGGGACCCGTCACCGCCTCCCTGGAACACGGCTTTCCACGGAACACGTGCCACGTGTGTCCCTAAGGTGGCCAGGCGGCCCGCTTTTTAACAACGCGTCCCGCGTCCCGCTGCGTTTTAGAACAGCCCCGATTTTTGAAACTGTTTAAAACGCCGAGGGACAAATGGTTAAACATTGGGACATCCGGTCACTTCGGTGTCCCTCGGTATCTGTGCCCGCGCGATGGGCCGGCGCCCCCTGATGGGAGACCGAGACTGTGATCAAAACCGAGTTAGGGGGCCGGTCAGAGCCATCAGGGCTCTTGTCACCGTGTGTGTCACTAAGAACAAGGCGGTGCAGGGCCGGGCCTTCGTCCTCCCGCTGCGCCCGCTGACGGCTCCCTCGCGGCGAGCGCCTCCGTGTCTGTGGCGTGTCGCTGTCGCACGCGGGGTGATCCACACGCGCCCCCTCACCGCGCCTCCCTTTTCTCTCGGAAGAACGCCATGATGACGTTTGAGGAGGAGAAGATGCAGCTGGCGTGCGAGGACCTGCGGACGACGGAGAGGCTGTGTGAGAGCGAGGAGGCGGGCGTGATCGAGACCATCAGGAACAAGATCAAGAAGAACGTGAGTGCGGGCCTTCGCCTGTCCGGGCTTCAGTGTTCGTCAGACGTGTTCCTTGTTCTGTTTTCTGTTTTGTCTTTTCCCCCTTTATTGGCTAAGGTGTGCTTCTCCCCTCTTCCCTCCCACCCCCCGTCCCCAATCCTGCCCCCCCCCCCCCCCCCCCCCGCCGCCCCGTTGTCGGCGTCCGTTGGTTATGCTTCTATGCATGCATCCAAGTCCTTTGGTTGATGTTTTGTTTTGCGGGTTTTTCCCCCCAGAAATTTCCCCATTGATTTTTAGAGAGAGTGGAAGGAAAGGGGAGAGGGAGAGAGAGAGAGACATTGATGAGATGATCAGTGGTTTTATTTTGGGGAAGTAGGAACTCGCGTAGTTTTATAAACGGTGACCCCCTCAGTTCTGTGCCGGCTTTCCTGTCCCCGTGACCCGGGGTTTATCATTAGGAGACTTGTCTTTGGGTTGGGGTCTCAGCTGGTGGTGAGGAGCGGCAGGGAGTGGGGGGAGGAGCGGCCGGCGGGGGGGAGCGGAGGGTGGGGGGAGGAGCAGGGGGGATAGGGGAAGAGCTGGGGGTAGAGGGGATTGGGGTGGGGGGAGCGGCCGATGGGGGGGGCGGGTAACATGGTCTCGGCGCCTCGGGGCGGCCCTGTCTCAGCGCCGGGGCTGGTGGAGCCGGAGGCGTGCTCCGCGGAGACTCACCGTGTGCTGTGCCTCCCCCAGGCGGACGCCCGGAGGTCGGCGCCCTCCATGGTGGACCGGCTGCAGCGGCAGATCATCGTGGCCGACTGCCAGGTGTACCTGGCCGTGCTGGCCTTCGTCAAGCAGGAGCTCTCAGGTACGGCCGCGGCGACCGCTGGCAGGCATGGCGTCCTATTGGGGGCGCGGCGTCCGGGCGGCGAGTGCACAGTCCGGGAAACCCTCTTTTCTTAGAACGGCTTGTCAGCCGTGGAAAGGTGGCCGGCCCTGCCCGGTGTGGCTCAGTGGGTAGAGCACCAGCCTGTGGACAAAGGGTCCCGGGTTCGATTCTGGTCCCTGTCTTAGTTGCAGGTGCCTCCCCGGCCTGGGCCCTGGTCGGGCGTGTGCAGGAGACAACCATCGGTGTGTCTCGCTCACGTCGATATTTCTGTCTTCCCCTCTCCCTCCCTGTGTCTAAAAATCGGTGGGGGAAATAAATAAATAAATAAAATAAGAATCGTGGGAACATCCTCGGGGGAGGATTAACAGGAGAAGAGGAAGCCCGTGGCACCTCTCTGGGGCGTGACACCAGGTTATTGCTCGGGAAACTGCTGCCGTGGTTCTGAGTTGTGGTCTGTGGGTCCAGTTCGGAGCTCTTGCTGATCAGCCCCCGAGTGTGGGCTGTGGGTGAGCGGTGACAGCGATGAGGGTGACGTCACCATCACACCCCACGCTTCACCGAATTCTAGTTCTGAGGCTTTCTCCCCACTGTCCCATGTCCCAGTGGAGGGCGGCAGGAGGCAGCTGTCAGTGATTCTCTCTCATCGTTGATGTTTCCATCTCTTTCTCCTTCTCCCTTCCTCTCTGAAATTAATCTCCCATCTAATAAAGAGGAAGCATACAAATTGACTGTCCAACACACAAGATGGCCACCACAAATGGCCGGCAAGGGAGGGCAGTTGGGAGCAATCAGGCTGGCAGGGGAGGGCAGTTGAGGAAGGACCAGACTGGCAGGGGAGTGGTTAGGCATGATCAGGCTGGCAGGGGAGTGGTTAGGCATGATCAGGCTGGCAGGGGAGCGGTTAGGGGTGATCAGGCTGGCAGGGGGGCTGTTAGGGGTGATCAGGCTGGCAGGGGGGTGGTTAGGGGTGATCAGGCTGGCAGGGGGGCGGTTAGGGGTGATCAGGCTGGCAGGGGGGCGGTTAGGGGTGATCAGGCTGGCAGGGGGGCGGTTAGGGGTGATCAGGCTGGCAGGGGGGCGGTTAGGGGTGATCAGGCCCACTGTGGTCGGGGTGGGACCAGGCCGTGCAGCTCACTGTCCTCTCTCCCCGCCCAGCGTACATCAAAGGCGGCTGGATCCTCCGGAAAGCCTGGAAGATCTACAACAAGTGCTACCTGGACATCAACGCGCTGCAGGAGCTGCACCAGCGGCGGCCGACGGGGACGCCCTCGCCCGCCGACGCCGCCAACCACAACCACACGGCGGCGGCGGCGGAGGGGGTGTCGGAGGAGACGCTGAGCCGGCTTCGCGGCGCCGTGAGCTTCGGATACGGCCTGTTCCACCTTTGCATCTCCATGGTGCCCCCCAACCTGCTCAAAGTCATCAACCTGCTGGGGTTCCCCGGAGACCGCCACCAGGGGCTGTCCTCTCTCATGTATGCGAGCGAAAGTAAGGACATGAAGGCCCCTTTAGCTACGTGAGTAGCTGTGTTCACTGCTTCATAGATAACGTAGTGTTGAGTGAGGGGCCGCAGTCGGCCTGGGAGAGGAGCGGCAGGTAAAGCGGGTTTGGCGGACGTGAGGCTGTGTCTTTTCTTTTAATGTTTTTATTGACTTCAGAGAGGAAGGGAGAGGGAGAGAGAAACATCCATGTGAGGAGATTAGGGATCAGCTGCCTCCTGCAGGCCCCACATGGGGCGTCGACCCCACCTCGGCCTGTGCCCTGACCGGGAATCAGACGGTGACCTCGGGTTCCTGGGTCTGGCTCAGCCACTGAGCCAGGCCGATGCGTGGTTTCGGGGTTTGTAGATCTGTCTTGGGGAGCCGGGCACAGTTCTTAAGTCTCGCAATGAGGGTTGTGTGAAGACAGGGGAACCATCCTATTTCCTGGTCTTGAACGAGGGGTGAGCCAAGCTGGTGACCTTGGCCACAGTCACCGAGATCCCAATTCTGATTTTATTTTTTATATATATATACTTTTTAATTTTTAAAATCTATTTTATTGATTTTTACAGAGAGGAAGGGAGAGGGTTAGAAAATTAGAAACATCGATGAGAGAGGAACATCAATCAGCTGCCTCCTGCACACCCCCCACCGGGGATGTGCCCACAACCAAGGCACATATGCCCTTGACCAGAATTGAACCTGGGACCCTTGAGTCTGCAGGCCGATACTCTATGCACTGAGGCACACCGGTCAGGGCCCAATCCTGGTTTTCAGATTTAAAGGATAAACATCGATAGGACATTTCTATGGTCGTGAATTTTTGTTCTCTGTCCTCATCTGGGGTACCTTCCCTGAGGACTCTGGTTGGTCCCTCGGTCTCTCAGGTGTGGCTTTGGCTACTTTGCACGAACTGAAACAGAGTCACAGGGTGCTCAGTCTCAGCGTGAGTGGCAATGACTTAACCACGAGAGTGCTGGTCAGAGCAGGAACCCCTCATTCCTCCATCCATGAAAAATGGTGTGATGTGTCGTCCCCCCCCCCCCCAATTTGGTAAATCCCTGCCATTTGAGATTTGAGTGCTTTTACCAGACATTAGATGTGCTTGGATGTCACACCACTTGTCGGGATTTTCCCGGCAATGTTGACATCACAGGGAGCCTTCGAGAGCTGTTTCTGCTCTCGTCAGAATGGCGGCATTTGGATCTTTAATGTGCGTTGGCTGTTAAAGAGATCATTAATTTTCTTACTGTTTTGATTGATTGATTTCAGAGAGGAAGGAAGAGAGAAACATCAGTGATGAGAGAGAATCACGGACCCGCTGCCTCCTGCACGTCCCCCCCACTGGGGATGGAGCCCTCAACTGAGCACATGCCCTTGACTGTAATCGAACTCGGGTCCCCTCTGTCTGCAGGCCAACGCTCTGTCCACTGAGCCGAACTGGCTAGGGCGAGATCTTTAATTTTTCATTTCAAAAACGTTTGTGGGCCACCCCCCTCCCCAACTCATTCCATGACACAAACCGTGGTCCTCCGTTAACTTGACTTAGCAGGTTTGAAACTTGGGATAATCATTGACGAGCTGCCTCTTGCACACCCCCTACTGGGGATGTGCCCGCAACCAAGGTCCATGCCGAACCCAGGACCTTTCAGTCCGCAGACCAACGCTCTATCCACTGAGCCACACCGGCTTTGGCCACTTCGTCGTTTTTAAATGGAGCCTCTTCTGGCCTGAGCAAGGTCTGCATCGGCTGCTCTTGTTTATGTAAAGTTTTCTATAAAGTTTTGTATAAAGTGTGGCTTTGCCTGTGGCTCCTGCACCTAAACCCTGACTCTGACCCGCTCCAGTTGTGAGCACGGCGGAAAGCAATGTGCTCCTTCTGTGCACAGGGACGCCTTCCCGGGGGGACCGGACACCCTGGCCCCGGGCCTGCCTCTGCCCGGCGAGCTGGGCGCCTCGGAGGCTGCAGCCTCCTGCGTCTGTCCTGGTCTCCCCAGGTGTGGGCTGGTCTGTGCGTGAAGCTGCCGCTTTCCAAAAGCTGATACGGGCAGCTGCTCTGACGATTTAGGGAGTTTGGGGGAGAGGGGGGTACCTGGGAGCGCACATGTGTGCTGTGTTTGGGGACGAAGCCCTGGGAGCCGGGCTCAGCATCCCTCCCCGCAGGCTGGCGCTGCTCTGGTACCACACGGTGGTGCGCCCCTTCTTCGCGCTGGACGGCAGCGACCACCGGGCGGGCCTGGCGGAGGCCAAGGAGATCCTGCGCCGGAAGGAGGCGGCGTACCCCAACTCCTCGCTCTTCCTGTTCTTCAAGGGCCGCGTGCAGCGGCTCGAGGTGCGTGCCCTGTGGTCCCGCCGGATGGCCTGTCCGTGGGCCAGAGCCGTGGGCCGGGGGAGCTGCTGGGAGCCGGGTTGGCGCTGCGGCGGGCGGGGCCTTGGGTCTCTCCGATGGAGACGCAGGCACGTGGTCTCTGTGCGGGGACTGGCCGGTGCTGAGAGGTCCTGGAGGTCAGTGGTTTCACACGAGGTGCTGCCTCCGACTCGGCGGCTCCAGCGCCGGAGTCCTCCCGCCTCTTGTTTTCGTGCTCCCCCGCACTCAGGGCGAGTCTGTGTCTCTAAAAACCAAACGGGGAGACGAGTGCCAGGTTGCGGATGAGCCCTTTCTCTCCCTGTCGTGGGTATTTTGTTAAAAACTCCCACCGGCCATTTTTAACAGTATATTCTTGCTGATTTCAGAGAGGAAGGGAGCAGAGGGAGGGAGAGAAACAGCCGTGGAGAGAGGATCACTGATCGCCTGCCTCCTGCACGCCCCACATGGGGTGGATCCCACAACCCGGGCCTGTGCCCTGACCGGGAACCGGACCCGGCCTCCTGGTTCATAGGTGGATGCTCGTCCCCGAGCCACGCAGCCGGGCTTCCGGGGCCTTGGAATCGCTCTGTCCGTGCGCTCGGCCGGGTTTGGTGGCTGCTGGGACACGCGTGGAGTGACACGCGTGTAGCGATGACAGGCGTCCGCGGTGACCTGTCCTCTCCCCCCTCAGTGCCAGATCAACAGCGCCCTGGCCTCCTTCCACGCGGCCCTGGAGCTAGCCGTGGACCAGCGGGAGATCCAGCACGTCTGCCTCTACGAGATCGGTGAGTGCTGGCCTGTGCGGCCAGGCTGTGGGCACACACAGAGCCGGCGACTGCCCTGAGCCTGCCCTCTCCCTGGCTGGTTCAGGGGATCAGCTGAACAGCCTGCCCTCTCTCCCCAGGCTGGTGCAGCATGATTGAGCTCAACTTCCAGGACGCGTTCGGCTCCTTCGAGCGGCTGAAAAACGAGTCCCGGTGGTCGCAGTGCTACTACGCCTACCTGACCGCCGGTGAGTGCGGGCCGAGCACACTGCAGCGGCCCTCCCTGTGGCAGACGCGCCTGTCACTCTGGAAGGACCAGGCTCTCGGCCTGAGGAGAGAGAGACATGATAGGTAGGTAGGTAGATAGGCCTGAGGAGATAGATGATAGATAGATAGATAGATAGATAGATAGATAGATAGATAGATGGATGCTAGGTAGGTAGGTAAATAGATAGTTAATAGATAGATAGGCCTGAGGAGATAGATGACATTTAGACAGGTAGATAGGTGGGTGGGTAGGTAGGTAGGTAGGTAGGTAGATAGATAGATAGATAGATAGATAGATAGATAGATAGAGACGTGTTGCCCCTTGGTGGAGCCGCCTGGGAACAGCCGTTAGAGCGTGGCCTGAACTGTCTGCGCCCATTGGTTGGTTGGTTTGGGAACATTCCAGTGCCGCGGGCCTGGGCCACGCAGCGGCACCTCCCGCGGACACGTGAGCAGTAGCCGTGGTCTCTCAGTCTGCCAGGGGGCCACCGGCGACGCGGACGGCGCCCAGGCCGTCTTCAAGGAGGTGCAGCGGCTCTTCAAGAGGAAGAACAACCAGATCGAGCAGTTCTCGGTGAAGAAGGTGCGTCGGGCGCTGGGCATGGAGGCCACCATCCCCTCTCGCTCCTGGGGCGTCAGACGGACAGCGGGCACCCTGCCCGCCCGCCCGCCCGCGCGGCTCCCCCGAGGGTTCGCGGCGAGGCCGGGCGCCGGCGTGGGGTCGGCGGTCACAGCAGGCGAGGTCTGAGGGAGGACACCTCACCGGCCTGCAGAGCTACGGGCACACCGCGGGGACCGCGTCGTCCGGGGGGTTGGGTCAGACAGCCCGAGGTGCCAGCGCTGGTTCTCAGGATGGCGAGCACATCACATTCTCGAGGGAAAATATACTTTTTAACTGACCTCAGAGAGGACGGAAGAGAGGGAGAGAGGGAAACGTCAGAGATGAGAGAGAATCATCCATCGGCTGCCTCCTGCACCCTGGGGATCGAGCCTGCAACCTGGGCCTGGGCCCTGGCCGGGAATGGAGCCCTGACCTCCTGGTTCATAGGTCGATGTTCCTCACTGAGCCACACAGGCCGGGCCAGATCACATTTCGACCTGATTTTTAAAAATTACGCACATCCCGTGTACGGCAGAAAGGCCCAGGACTGCGGGAACAGCACCCCTAATATACCCAAATCTTAGAGTTAAGGTTCAGCTGAATGGCTGAGGGCCCATGACTCCTGGCCACAACCTGAGTGTCCCACGGTTTTCATCTCGAATTTCTGTTGAATGAGTGTCCAGTGACTTGGTTTGAGGACAAACTAGGCCCGTGGTCGGCAAACTCATTAGTCAACTGAGCCGAATATCAACAGCACAATGACTGAAATTCTTTTGAGAGCCAAAAACCGAATTCTGTGCATGGGCCATGAAGTTTCAATTGCACTGTACGTGCTCGCATGTGGTATTTTTTTTAAATATATTTTATTGATTTTTTACTGCGAGGAAGGGAGAGGGATAGAAAGAGAGAGAAATTCGATGAGAGAGAAACACCGACCAGCTGCCTCCTGCACACCCCCCACTGAGGATGTGCCCGCCACCAAGGTACATGCCCTTGACCTGAATTGAACCTGAGACCTTTCAGTCCGCAGGCCGACGCTCTATCCACTGAGCCACCCCGGTTAGGGCCACACATGGTATTTTGTGGGAGAGCCACACTCACGGGGCCAAAGAGCCTCATGTGGCTCCCGAGCCGCGGTTTGCCAACCACAGGACTAGACTACAGTGCGGTAGGCCCGAGAGCCCCGCTTGGTAGGAAATGAGAAACTCCGCAGGCGTCACCAGCCGGCTCCCCGGCTCCCTCCTCAGCTCTGGACGCCTCTCACCGGCACGGCACCAAATTGAGTTTCGTCCCCTCATCCCCGGGTCCCTCCCGAGGCACGACCACGGGGTGAGGTGACCGCGGCTGAGGCACCTCTGCCTGCAGCCCGCGGACTGAGCAAGCCTTTCTCACAGACGCACTTGCCGCGCGGCCGTAGGTGGGCAGGCTCCCCGGAGTCCGAACGGACCCCGTGAATGTCCCCGAGGCGGCCACGGCCTCTGAGTGTGTTTGGAGAAGGCGTGGCTAACCGTGCTGACTCCCCGCAGGCCGAGCGGTTCCGGAAGCAGACGCCCACGCGGGCGCTGTGCGTGCTGGCCTCCGTGGAGGTGCTGTACCTCTGGAAGGCCCTGCCCAACTGCTCCGCCCCCAGCCTGCAGCGGATGAGCCAAGGTAAAAACACACAACAAAACCAGCCAGCCCGCCCGCCCGCAGCCTGGCTCGGGGGAGAGTCCGCCGTGCGATTCCCGGTCCGGGCACAGGCCGGGGTTACCCTCGCCGGTTTGGCTCAGTGGATAGAGTGTCAGCCCATGGACGGCAGGGTCCCAGGTTCGATTCAGTTACAGGCTCGACCCCTGGCCCTGATCTGGGCGGGGCTTCCTGTTTGAGATTCAAGAGACCATGTGGCTCCCCTCTCCCTCCCCCAGGAAACCCTCCATTCCCCCCTCCCCATGAGCCCACACGGAAACGGCACTGTCACCCCGTGTACGTGAGGTCCACCCTTGGTGCCGTGCACTGTGTGGGTTAGATACGCGTGTGATGGCGAGCATCCACGCTCACGGGTGCTATCGTGCAACAGTCACGGCCCTCAGATCCTCCGAGCTCCCTCCCCCGGACCTGTGGACGCCCCTGGCCGGGGTCCGCCCTCATGGGGAGCCTTTCCAGGTCACGCAGTCGGGGTCACAGACCCGTGGCCTTCCGTGTCTCCTTCTGTGTCGCCTCCCTGGCCCTGCGGTTTGTGCCTCTGCGTCTGAGGATCGTGGCTGCACTGTGGGAGAGGGGACCCTCAGAGGGGGGTGTTTTTATGTCCTCACCCGGAGGACACGTTCGGGAGAGGGATTTCGGGAGAGGGAGAGACGGAGAGAACCGTGGCTGTGAGACAGACACAGCGACAGGCTGCCTCTTGCACGTGCCCCGACCAGGCCCGGCCGGGAAGAGCCTGCATCTGAGATCCGTGCCCTTCACCGGAATCGAACCCGGGACCTTTCGGTCCCCAGGCCGACGCTCTGTCCACTGAGCTGCACTGTCTCGGCCCTTCTGTTCTGGGCGGAGCTGTGCACGGGGCATGCAGACCGTGGAGGGCGCTGAGGGCCGTGGAGGGCGCTGAGGGCCGTGGTGGGCGCTGAGGGCCGTGGAGGGCGCTCTGGGCGGTGGAGGGCGCTGAGGGCCGTGGAGGGCGCTCTGGGCGGTGGAGGGCGCTGAGGGCCGTGGAGGGCGCTCTGGGCGGTGGAGGGCGCTGAGGGCCGTGGAGGGCGCTCTGGGCGGTGGAGGGCGCTCTGGGCGGTGGAGGGCGCTGAGGGCCGTGGAGGGCGCTCTGGGCGGTGGAGGGCGCTCTGGGCGGTGGAGGGCGCTGAGGGCCGTGGAGGGCGCTGAGGGCCGTGGAGGGCGCTGAGGGCCGTGGAGGGCGCTCTGGGCGGTGGAGGGCGCTGAGGGCCGTGGAGGGCGCTGAGGGCCGTGGAGGGCGCTCTGGGCGGTGGAGGGCGCTGAGGGCCGTGGAGGGCGCTGAGGGCTGTGGAGGGCGCTCTGGGTGGTGGTGGGCGCTGAGGGCCGTGGAGGGCGCTCTGGGCGGTGGAGGGCGCTGAGGGCCGTGGAGGGCGCTCTGGGCGGTGGAGGGCGCTCTGGGCGGTGGAGGGCGCTGAGGGCCGTGGAGGGCGCTGAGGGGTGTGGAGGGCGCTGAGGGCTGTGGAGGGCGCTGAGGGCTGTGGAGGGCGCTCTGGGCGGTGGAGGGCGCTGAGGGCCGTGGAGGGCGCTCTGGGCGGTGGAGGGCGCTCTGGGCGGTGGTGGGAGCTGAGGGCCGTGGAGGGCGCTGAGGGGTGTCCGCTCGGCCTCCGCAGCCTGCCACGAGGTGGACGACGCGGCGGCCGTGGGGCTGAAGCTCCTGTTGCTCGGGGCCATCCACAAGTGTCTGGGCAACGCCGAGGACGCCGCCCAGGTACGGGCAGCGGGGGGGCGGGGGGACGGGAGGGCGGACACGGCCCGGGAGGAGAGAGGCACACGCACACACCACGCCCGCCTCTGCCGTGGGCCCCCCACGCTGCGCGCCATGCTGGGGCACCAGGGTTAGTGCAGCCCAGGTTCCCGCACGTCTGCTCACGCGGCTCCTCCCGCCCACGCCGACACGCGAGGGGCCGCCGGCGGGTCCAGTGACGTGTGTCTCGCTCTCAGTTCTTCCAGCGCGCGGCCAGGGACGAGCTGTGTCGTCAGAACAACCTGTACGTCCAGCCGTACGCGCTGTACGAGCTGGGTTGCCTCCTGCTGGACAGGCCGGAGGTGAGAGCGCACGTCCGTCCTTCCTACGGTCACACCGTGCGGGCGGCAGCAGGCCCCCGGCGGCCTTCGTTCGAGGGAAGTCGATGGATGGGGGGTAGGGGGCACTGCTTGTGTGTCTTTCCCACGAGGTGAGTCCAGGAGTTCTATCTGTTGAGATCACGTCTTCTCCTGAAATGAGATTTTGGGGCCATAGGGAGGGGGACCCTGGCCTTCCCGGGAAGGCGTGTGGGTGAGGGCGGGGCTCATGCAGAGGAGCAGGGTCCATGAGGATTCTCTGCGTCCGCCTCCTGTGTGCCTGACCCGGCCCCTCGGCCAGAACCTTCCTCGTCTGTGAGTCCGGATGGAAAGGGACCTGCCTTGTCAACCTCACAGCGATGGCGGCTAGAGGAAGTGCGGGCGGCGCGGACGGCCACTTTAAGAACATCAGAACGCGTCTGTGTTAACGCGGTGGTTCCCGTGACGACGTGTGGACGTATCACGGCAGGCTTCTTTAGAAAACAGGGTTCCGGTGGCATCATATTGGAGTGAGGAGGGTGAATTAGTGAAATCCTGGCTTTTAGCAAGTTTCCCTCGGTTTCCAAATACATGGGTTTCCGAAAGTTGAGTTATAAATCCCGGGAATCTGATGGTAGCATATCCTTAAACCTGTAACGAGGGATAACTCACCGACTTTCCCCAGGTGTAAGCTCTTAGGGAGACCCTAACCTGGGCTGTTACGATGCTTCCGAGTCGTTTTTGTTTATGGGATGACATTGAAGGCTGTGGGAATGGTTTATGGGGTAACGTCTTGATGTAAACTTTTTGACATCATTGGGTTAAAGGAACCTGGAGTCTACACGGAATGAGTATCTGACTCCCCTCGGTGGCAGAATTGTCTGAATTAGTATATCCCATGGGTCGGCAAACGGTGGCTCACGAGCCACGTGTGGCTCTTTGGCCCCGTGAGTGTGGCTCTTCCACAAAAGACCACGTGCGGGCACTCAGTACAGTGCGATTAAACTCTGTGGCCTGTGCGCAGAAGTCTGTTGTGAATAGTGGTCTTAGAACACTCAGGGGCCAAAGAGCCGCATGTGGCTCGAGAGCCGCAGTTTGGGATATCCTCCTGCTTTCACCTTTTCTGCTGGGGGAAGCGGAGGGTGAGGAGATGTGTGTGTTTTGTCTTCGCAGACGGTAGCGAGAGGCCGAGCGCTGCTGCTTCAAGCGAAGGTAAACGCCCGAGCTTCCCGCACGGGGCCTGCCCTCCCGCCCTGGACACTGAATCCCGGAGGTTTGGGGGCGTGACCGTCCGGTGGGTGTTCCTGGGAAGGGAAATGGCAGTGGTGAATCAGCCAGCACTGGAGCTCCGAGTCATAGACACTCCCGTGAGCGCTCACCTGCCTTATAAACCCTCCTTTCTGTGAGTGGGGAAGGGACTTGGTATTTCATCACCACGTTCCCAAATAAAGGATTTCCCACAGCTGCTTACACGGAGCTTACACAAGCAAAACACCAGAGACGCAGTCATGATGAGCCATTAGCATCCTTTTTTAAAAATATATATATAGTTCATTGATTTTTTTACAGAGAGGAAGAGAGAGGGAGAGAGTTAGAAACATCCATGAGAGAGAATCATGGATCAACTGCCTCTTGCACACCCCCTGCCGGGGATGTGCCCTCAACCAAGGTGCATGCCCTTGACTGGAATCGAACCTGGGACCTTTCAGTCTGCAGGTGACGCTCTATCCACTGAGCCAAACCAGTTTCAGCAACCATTAGCATTCTTAAAAAAGGCATACCCCGGCCGGTGTGGCTCCGTGGACAGAGGGTCGGCCTGTGGACTGAAGGGTCCCAGAGTCGATTCCCCGTCAGGGTATGTGCCCGGGTTGCAGGCTCGGTCCCCCGTGGGGGGCGTGCAGGAAGAGCCGATGCATGACCCTCCTCATCAATGTTTTTTCTCACCTTCTCCCTTCCTCTCTGAGATCAATAAAAGAATATTTTTAAAAATCGGAAAGCTCAGCGATTGGGAAATCATACCAGTGAGTGCAGAGCCCTCAGTGGGGGGGGGGGGGGGGGTCCCGGGGCCGGACAGACCTGGTTTGCCCGCGGTGCGGGCTCCGCCGGCCCTCAGCCCTCGCCTGCTCTTCCAGGAGGACTTCTCCGGCTACGACTTCGAGAACAGGCTGCACGTGCGCATCCACGCAGCGCTGGCCTCGCTGCGGGAGCTGGTCCCCCAGTGACGGGGCCCCCGGCCGTCCAGGTTCTGCCCGGAGCTGGGAGCGGAGGACGCTGCCATCGAGGACGGCCTTCCTGCCGGCCCCGTGCAGGGACACTCCCCTGGTCCCCGGCCGGGGGGAGCTCGGAGGAACCGTCCTAGTGATCACGCCGTCCTAGTGATTGCACCACCCCGGGAGGGCTCAGTGGCCTTGTTCAGACACTTTAGTTTTGTGATTTATTATTTTTAAAATAAAAGCCAAGCTGCACATCCAACCTGCGGTCCTGGTTGGATGCACACGCCGGCCGGGCGGGCGGGGCTGGGGGTGCCGGTGCCTCGGTGACGGGCCGGCCGGCACCCGGTGTTCTGAAGGAATCAGCGTTCTCGGCCCTCACGCTGCCTGTGGGAGGACTGTGGTACAGGCATGCTAACCCCCACGGCCCCGACCACGACACTCGGGCACAGACGGCGATTGGTGTACCCCGTTAGCTCTTCCTGTTTCCGCGGGCCCCATAGACGGCCGGTCTCCGGCCAGGACGCGAATGCCCCTCACTGTACAAAGCAAATGGGAGAACCCGCGTTCCTTGTTTCCCTCATTGAACACCTGCTCTTCCCCTGCGTCGTGTCGTCGCCATGTGTATGTCCAGGTCCGCAGTGTTTCCGAGGGAGGGCGCCATCGGCAGGCTTCGCGGGCGGCCTGGCCGGGATGCCCTCCCTGCCCCCTCGCTCAGGGTACTGATACGACGGGTTCGGAGTTATTTTAAATCCTTTGTCGCTCATTTTCATGGTCGTTTAACTGCACCTTGGTCCAGTGCTGCACCCCTGTGTTTTGAAGAATCACAATACCTCAGTCCCACCCTAGACTGAAGGGTCCCAGGTTCAATTCCCATGTGCCCGGGTTGTGGGCTCGATCCGCAGTCGGAGGCAGGCGGGAGGTGGCCGATCAAGGATTCTCTCTCATCGCGGATGCTTCTGTATGTCTCTCCCTTCCTCTCTGAAATCAATAAAAATCTATTTTGAAAAAATGCCTCAGTCCCTTAAGGGTTTCTGCCATGTGTGTGTGGCTCACATGGCTCCATCGTAAGGTTGGACTTTTTTAAAGTTTATACTGAGCTGCAGTCTGCCATCTTGGGGGGTCATTTATTCATGTGTCCTTTTAGCTGAAGCGTGATCATATGCAGCGTTCATGCTTTGTGCTTCTTTTCCCAGCACAGTTTGAGCCGTGTGACGGTCAGCAGGTGCAATTACGTAACCGGGCGGAGGAGATGGTTATTCTGGGGAGGCAGTGGATGTTCTTCCCCGACCTGGGCTCTCACCCTCGTGTCCCCCGCCCCCAGCATGTTTCTTCACGTGACTTTGGTGTGAGCCCCGCGTGGGTGTCATGCACGGCCGGAGAGAGAAGGCCGCCGCCCCCTCCAGAGGGCGTGGACGCCGAGCCACGAAGACGCTTTCTGCAGAGAGGGCTTCGAGCCTGGCATCCCGGTCCCTGTTCCCAGCGGGTCTGAAGGGAGGAACGGCCTGGATCTTCACCACGTGGCTCTCGCCGTTCTGTTCTTTCGGCTGCTGGGTACCGGCAGACTCCCCAAGGCCCAGCATTTGGGGACCGCGGATGCGTCAGCGTCCCCACTGGCGTTTTCAGCTCAAATGGTGTTGGAACCACTCTGCAGCAGAGATGGAAGACCTATGCTTAGTAAATTTTAAAAAAATGGTCCCTGCATTGCCGAGACCGGTTTGGCTCAATGGATAGAGCGTCGGCTTGGGGACTGAAGGGTCTCAGGTTCGATTCCGGTCAAGGGCATGTACCTTGGTTGTGGGCATATCCCCAGTAGGGGGTGTGCAAGAGGCAATTGATCGATGACTCTCTCATCGATGTTTCTAACTATCTCTCTCCTTCCTCTCTGTTCAAAATCAATAAAATATATTTAAAAAATAAAATAAAAATAAATAAAATGGTCCCTGCATTAGCTGCTGTAAGATGTGCGTCTCCAGAGAGAATTCAAGATTTCAGCCAAGTGTGTGTGCCATTCTCCTCACAAGAGATGGCATCGCCCCGTCCAGGAGGCTTCCCGTTAGTGTGAAAGCGGGTCTGAGCTCACGGCAAGCTGGTCTCTCCCCTGGTGGTGGGGCACAAATGGGGTGGGCCGTGACCCCAAACCTCAGCCGGAGCTGCATGTCAGATCACTGACGTCTGAGGGCATTAAAAGAAAAAAAAACTTTATTGTTGGAAGTGTTACATGGGCCCTCCTTTCCCCCCATTGACACCCTCCCCAGGCCCTCACCACCCCATTGTCCGTGTCCACGGGGGATGCATATGTGCACACATGCTCATTGGTGAGTCTCTTCCCACCCACCCTCCCCCGCCTTTCTCTGCCTGGCTCCTTTCGCTCAGGCGACAAAAGTCAGATCTGCTTTTGTACTAACGATGCCTCTGACAAGAGGCCTGCGCTGTCTGTTGTATGGTCCCTGGCCACACGTATGTAAGACACGCGTGGAGGTGGAGTCTAATCATACGAATGAGACACTCGATTTCCGGGGTGCGTGTACGTAAGGTTTTCCTTTTATTGGGCTGGGGGTCTTTTATCTTAGCACGTGACAGGTAGGTAGTTGAGTAAGGAATTGTTCCTTTCTGACTAGCATGTTGGTGGAAGGATAGTGGATAACCAGCCATTGACAGAATTTGCACGTACATTTTTTGCCAGCCAAGATGCAAGGACCATGCCTGCCTTGTTTGTGAAACACACACACACACACACACATATGCTCTGCTGTGTGAACGTTCCCAGCCGATTGCTTCCTTAGGAAAATCGGGAGGCAAGTACCCATGTGGCTGTGCAACTGCGGAGAGAAGCTGTCCAGTCACACAATTATGGTCACTAGTTGGTGTATTTTTAAAATATATATTTTATTGTTTTTTTAAAAGATGTATTTTATTGATTTTTTTTACAGCGAGGAAGAGAGAGGGATAGAGAGTTAGAAACATCCGTGAGAGAGAATACCTTATTTTCCGGCGTATAAGACGACTTTTGAAACGAAAAAAGTCAACCGAAAAAAAAAATAATAATAATGGGGGGTCGTCTTATACGCCGAGTATATCCCGAAAAACGTCTCGATATGCCACTGAACGAATTTTCCAACTCGATCCCGCACCAATCACTGCAAGGAGGAAACATGCGTGCGCCACAGTTGGATGTTTTGTGTAACTTTGTCATAAAAGCCTGGAATGATATTACTGAAGAAATAGTAATCAGGTCTTTCAAGAAGTGTGGCATATTAAATTCTTTGGATGGTATGGAGGATGACTTCTTGTAGCAGGATGAAGGGGAAGCCGAAGCTGAAGCCACACCATCTGATTCGGAATTTGATCCATATGATGACTGTCTTACAAATGAACCACAAGAGGTCATTGATGAACTTATGATGGCAGAAGAAGAACATGATGAGGATTTTGAAGGATTTTAAGCTCACAATGCTCCTCTGCCTAGAAAAACCTCTTATCATCCCAGTCAGTCACAAACAAGCGTTTTCTGCAAGTTCTTCATATAATTTTCTTTCCATATGATGCCATCATTGTTAATGTTCTCTTTTGGATTTCTTGTTTCTCGGTCAAGTTCATGGCATTGCCATTTGTGAAGAGACCTTCCATTTATTGTATCAGTGTACGGTATGTTCGAAAAATGTCATTAATTAAAAACTTAATTAAAAAAAGAACTGGTGAAAAAAAAAAAAAAAAAAAAAAAAAAAAAAAAAAAGAACTGGTGTTGCCTCAGAAGTAGGGGGTAGTCTTATACAGCGAATATAGTCCTAAACCTATATTTTAACTGTAAAATTAGGGGGTCTTATATGCTGGAAAATGCGGTAATTGATCAGCTGCCTCTTGCACACCCACTACCGGGGATGTGCCCACAACCAAGGTACATGCCCTTGACCAGAATCGAACCTGGGATCCTTCAGTCCACAGGCCGATGCTCTATCCACTGAGCCACACCAGTTTTGGCTAGCTGGTGCTTCTTAAATGTGTTTTTTGGATCCCGTTGGTGTTCTGTTTTCTAGAAAACAATGCCAAGCCCAGATCATCCCAAGAAGATAATAGGAGGGGAGGAGACTTGGAAAGTGTGTGTGTGGGTGGGGAGAGATGAAGGGTGAGAGGAACAGAGGTGGTCCACAGAGACATCTCCTCCAGCGTGAGGTGCACAGAAGGCACCCTGGCACCGTGGGACTCGGCTCTCTGTGAAAACCAGCCCCGGGGTGAATTCCAGCCCCTGGTTGGCTGGGGCTTGAAAGGGAAGCCAGACGCGTGGAACGCAGGTGAGCTCAGGGCTATCCTTCCCTTCCCCTCCCACGGGCCGCGGTTCTCAGATTTTCCCTGTACAGAATGGTCCTCCCCGAGGTTCGCACTCAGGAGGTTTGGGCAGAGTTTAGGGATGTGTTACCCTGGAGGCCTCGCTGAGAGAAACACCGCCCTGCATTCTCTCTGGGTCAGCGTTCAGTACACCGGAGAGGAGGTCCGAGCTCACGCAGATTCACGCATGGAGCCCCGTCACGCTTCGTCAGAGTGTGCCTCTTGGGGCTGCTGAGGACGTGCTTCCGGCCGTCGGCTTTGTAAACGGGGAGACTCCTGAGCGAGTTCTAAAGGAGACACAGGTGCAGGCAGGGGGACAGGTGAGGCCTGGGGCGAAGTCACAGGTGACACGCGTGTGCTCAGCACTAATTTCGAGAGTCGAGCGGGAAGCGAATGGTATGATGAGATGGGAGTTCCTCGCAGTCGCAGAAAGAACCTTGGGCTTCTCCAGAGGAAGGATTTGGGGGAGGCAGGCAGGGAGCCACACACATTTGTGGGTTCACATTTTAGATCCCAGTGTCTGAAAAGGAGATGAGCACAAGGACAAGGATGATACAGCCACCTGCAATCATCAGCAACATCAACCGGGTGCCCTGAGGCCGATGGGGAAAAGAAGACATTGGGGGGCCTGGCAATCTGAATTTGTGCCAGTAATCTGACGTACATTCTTGATAGCCTGTAATTAA